CCAGGCAGCTGGAGGGCTACAACAACTGTCACCATAAAGGAGCAAACGCTGCTTCTTCTTCTGGCTGATTTATTGGTACACCTGCATTCAGGGGAAGTATAGAAATGCTTAAAAGGAGAATAAGTTCCCAACAGTTTTGAAGAGGAAGAAAGGAAATAGAAATCAAGTTACAACAAAAAGCTGTAAAGAATCTAACTATTTCAACAGTCTGAAGTTGAGAGCTAGCAAGCAACCACATTGGTCTGAATGACTGAGAAAGGGAGTGAAACACTCCAGTTTAAAATCAAAAGAAGTATCTATGGATTATGTGGCATTTGAATCCCATTTCTTTGGTTAGCTATAGACACAGGCTGTGTAGAGACAGCTAATTTGGAATTAGACCAGTATGATTTATTTTCTGATCTAGAAGAATGAAGTTGAATTAAGCTGTTCAGATCATGATGTGCTGATTAATGACTCCCCCAGATTGGAAGGGTCTGTTCCAGTAGCTATGCTAGTCACTGTGAATGGCCAGGTGTCACAGATGTGTAAACTGCAACTGAATAAGCTCACATATGCAAGAAGGAACAGTTTCTGCCAACTTCCCCCACCTAGTGCTTTCTAAAATACCTTTCAACAATGCTGCTGGCAAAACATCATCCCCAAAAGCTCACAAGAAGTGAAAGAGCACAAATTTTACCCAGTAGGAAGAACTTGAAGGAGGCAGCCCGTGCTGCTCCACTTAGCCTTGAAATGAACATGCAGAAAAGGGTTTTCCACAACCACAGTCACAACCCATCTTGAGAACACAGCCAAAGCATTCTCTCACAAAAGGTGGTGTCAGGTGTGAGAAGTGATTTTTTCCTCCTGAGAACCAGGAGGAACCTGTAAGTTTAAATGGTGCTAAAGTGCAAAAGACTCTGAAAGACAAAATAGCCTCTGAACAAAGAAAAACCTCATTATACTTTGCACCTGTTTAAGACAAAAACCCTTGTAACAAGTTGGTTCATTAATAAAGGTGCAATTAAGTATCACGTCATTAAAAGCACAGGAATGAAAACAAGAAAATCTCATTAAGAGACAATGCTGAGGGATCTACCTCTTGAAAAAAACGAAATCAACACTTTCTCTCCTGGCTCCTCACAGCAATTTGTTCCTTACAAACATGGGGTTGCTCCTGAAAGGGAAGAAACGGCTTGTTTTGAGCTAAAAAGCTAGGATGTGTTCCCGTATTTCTAGGAAAAGGTGCTACTTATTGCAAACAGGCACAGCAATGAGAACAGAACAACCTTTAGGGAAAACTACCACTCATTTCAATATCACAAACAAGACACAAGACACAGAGAAAGTGACAAATTCTGCATTCTCCCAATAACAGATTCTCTTTCTGTTAACATTGGAAGGTCGAGCAGAGACACTTCAATCGCTGTGGCAAGCAGCCAGCTCATGAATAGGCTTGCTAACATCAACAAGACTATTCCTATGAACAAATGCTCAAAATGACTATGAGACTTCTTGTATATCCTTTGTAATGGTAAAATCAGCAGGATTACTGCGGCTTCCGAGTGCCCTCCCACATGGACTAAGAGCTGAAGAAGAGGGCTCAAGTGAGAAACTGTGTGAGAGCTGCAGTTAAAGACTGAACTGGTCCTTAGTGTTCCAGTTTAAAATAATACAGCACCTTGTAAAAAAAGAACTACCAGCCCAGCAGATACCAGGCTTTAACTCACTATTAACCTAGGGCCTGAAGTTACATTCTGACATGTATTCCTCAGGAAAAAATACTACTTCTTCTGTCTGAATAGTTATTGGTTAACTACACACACAACTCTGCTTGAAGACTAAGAGATTTCAAACTGCATTCAAAAGTATAGAACCAGGATGGTGATACATAAAGGATCTGTGAGAAAGGAAGCACTAGTCCTAGCAGCAAGGTGGGGTTGCCTGCATGGTCAGCCCTTCATTTGAATGCAAATGTAATTTTGGGGCAGGCAGTTATCTGTGACATCAGGCAGGACCTTAGTAAACTGTTACCACCAGCACCTGGTAAAACCATTGTTAATCATGTGTAGTAAAGGGACATCAGGGCTAGCATGAGTCATTTATAGAGCCAGTCAGGGCTAGAAAAGAGAGAAAGAAAGAGGAGGGGAAGAGAGATCAAACACACACTGTGAGGAGCAGGATGTCCCAGCAAGACAAAGCCAGGCTGTGAGCATCATGTATGTGAGTTACCTTTTGGATAAAGAAACCAGCATGTATCCAGGATCTGCAAGGTGCAGCAGCAACAACCTGCCAGTGCAAAACTTTGTGTCTACTCCGTCTTATCCAGATTACATGGGATACCATCATGTGCCAGCTCTGGACACCCACAGCCAGCCTGCGGGAACCTGGGGATCCCACTATGGCCCGCAGAGGGAGGACTGGAACGCTTACGGCCCAGGACCTTCTAGCACAGTTGCTGCTGCTCAGATCAACAGCTCGTCTCCCGGACAGGTCTCCTACACTTCTGCTGATTACAGCTCCCTCCATCCCGCTGGATCTGGGGGGTTACCTCCTGTAGATACAGTTAATACACAGCAAATCTCTCCCAACAGCCAAAGGCACAGCTCTTATGAATGGATGAGGAAAACGGTGCAATCCACTTCCACAGGTAGGAGGGCACTGAAGTTTTATGCTGAGAAGAGATTTTGCTGCTTTTGCATTGTTTGGGTTTTTTTGCCAGGTTCCCTGTTTAGAGGCAAGTGTCCAGGGTAACAAAGATAGATCCTAATTGTTCTGAAGGATTCTTTTTCTAGCAGTTAAATGTTGGTTCGGTTATTGGATGCTGAGTTTGATTTGCTGACTACTTATATTTCTTTGTTGACCTTTAATACTGAGACAAATGCAAAGTCTTTTGACAGAGAAGTATTTTCACTTCAGAGATGTTAAAAAAAAATCTGATATCAAATAACTGCTTTAAATAGGAATCCTATCACTTGGAATGTAGCAGCATGTCTGCAGAAAGAAATAATGATAAAAGTATTGTATTTTACACCACTCACCTATACTTTGCTTATTTTCCTCAAGTTTTAGAAATATATATGAAAAGTTCAAGTAAAATATAAATACTAGGAGACTGGAAGTAAGGCTTCATATTCGAAACAACTTCTCTAAACCTCAGAACACTGAAATGAGATCTGCAAGGTCAAACACTGAGTCAATGCTCTAAACCCAGGAGTGATAAGGGTTCACTCTGCTTCACTCAGTAGTAGTAACTCTCAAGATATGCAAGAATAGAGATCCCTGGTAACACAATCAGTTAATACAGCCACAGCTCAGTCTCCAATGTGTAATTCTTCAATTGCGTTTAAGCAGTAAGTCATTAAGCAAGAGGAAAAGGTTATGTTTGACTGTCATGAGGAACAATAGAAAAAAAGAGAAACATAGAGCATCCCTAAAACAAAACCCTCAACTTGTACGAATAGGAAAAAACAAAAAAGAAACAAGACAGGGGAGAAAGAAAAGAGGGAAAACTGCCTGAAAAGAACAGAGGCCCAATGCACTATATAACAGTATTTGATCCTCCAAGGTGCTGAGCAGTTTTGCCATGCACTGAGATCAGTAGAAATTAAGGCTGCTCAATGCTTCCCCTAAAGAGATGCTCACAGTATTCCAGTGTTAACATCTCAAGAAGGTTCCTTTCCCTTCAACCCTTCCTCTCACCCCAGCTCTGTTCCACACATGCCTGTAAATAATAGTTTTCAAAGCAAGCACTGAATCAATCTCTGATGGAAAAGCAATTGCTTAGATAGACTTTAGAAAAATGAAAGCAACTGTATAGAAAAATTGTCTGTATTAAAAGGATGCATTTAATTTCTATGGACAGACGGAGTTATCCTCAATCCTGCTGCACACAACTTCAGTTCAGAGCGTCCACAGAAGTGAACAGGACAATCAGAATAGGTTGTTACTCTGGGTAAACAGAATTTTGGGGTGGCTGAAGCAGCAGGTATTTTAAAACCAGATTTGTTCTTCACTGAATACTCTGAGCAAAGACAAAAGAGGTTGGTCTTATAAAAAACAGCTTACTTTTGAGTATCCCTTACAAGAGCAATGGAACTGCTCACGAACTGTGATTTACAGATGGCAGAACACTTGCTCATAACCCCCCAGCCTCTCATCTCTTCTTTCTCCACCTGCCTTTTGCTCCTGTGGATTTAAACTGCAGTCTTTCAGAGAAAGGACTTACTTGACCTGTCTATGCTGTCCCTTTTCTAGTAGGGTGGATACACTGTGAGATAGATTTTTATTTTTATATATATATATATATTGAAAATAGACAATACCACATTCTAACTGCCTGCTGTCTGCTCAAGAAAAATGCTTAGGGCTTTCTAACCTTCCAAATTTCAAGCCTGCACAGGGCAGAGCATTCACAGGAAGTGGTGGGACTCTATTCTGGAATGGGCCAACAAGACACTGAGCATCTTAATTTCAGGAAAAGCTGAAGAAATCAGCATGTCATAGTAGCATACACTCCCAAATGCCCAAAGGCCAGCATAAGGACCTCTGAAGTTAGTGGGAGTCTATCATTCATTTAATGGCTATTGGGTCATGCTTTAGGGAAAATCCCAGATAAGGAATTCTTCTGCTGCTTCTTCCCCTCTTCTTGTGATTTGCTAGGCCAGGAATGCTCAGTGCCAATAGATCTGTTTCACTGAAGTCTGTTCCTTTTACTGGATCATGATCAAACCCCTCAGCATTTTCTTAGATGGAATTTTCTACTCCCTAAGGCTGTATGCACACACTGAGCACTACCCTTCTGTCTCTCTGCAAACCTTTAGGAATGTCAGTAAAGGTCTTGTATAGGCAAGAGTGAAGGAATCACACTTATTATTATTAGCTTCTGTTATTCCCTGTTATTCCCTGTAAATAGATTTGAGCCACTCTTCTTAAGGATGGAAGAACTGAGGCTCAGACTTACCTGAAGTGATCAGAACAGAAATTAGACACACTGATTTTATTATTTGTTCATTACTTACATTGAGTAGTCTGACTTGGAGCAGCTACAGAAATGAGACGCAGAACCAGTGATGTTTCCATCTCCAGAGATTTCATGATTTATCTTCTCCTACCCGTGCTTTGTGGCCTCAGGACCTGACAGATGACAAACAAAACACTTGATTGAAATTGCTGCCACTGCCTCAGGCCCTCCAGGTCTTTCAATACTCTGTTACCTACACCTAATCTGAAACAAAAGAAGAAATTATTTCAAGTCTTATTCTGCAACTTTAAATAGAATATCTGATGTAAAACCATGTCTTCAACTGGTATTCAGTGAAGGTTTTGAGGTTATGCTACTTGAAACTGGAAGATCTCAGTATTTAATGCCAGCCTATCATCCTAGTTTAGCATTACAGGAATACTGAGGCTTTCAACCATCACTCCCTCTGGTTGAAGAATGTCCGAGTGTTTCTCCCTGTAACTTTGGAACTGGAGGGACTGGGACTTAATCCTAAACACAGTGCAGGTAGGATCCAGTGTTTAGTCACTGCATTCTTGAGGGTGCTCAAGATAGAGGATAAAGCAAATGTGTTTTGACTCCAAACACCTGAAGGAGGAAACACTGACTGCTTACTGTTTTCAACCAAGAACACAGATGGGAAAAGACCCTTCTCTAACCCTTACGCTGGTCCTGTGCCCTCTCCTAAAGCCCCAGTTTAACAGAGCAAGCAAAGCCAAGACAACTAGTCACTGTAACAGAACAGAACAAAGCCACAGCAACTGCACATTTGAGGTGGAAATTCCATGCACACAAAGCATAATTACAGGGAAATTCTTTGATGGAGAGTAGAATAAAATCACCTCAGAACAAGTTACAAATCTCTTCTTGTTGATTTCAATGCATTTATGGAGGTCTGCAATCACTCACACAGGAGCAAACTTTACTTTTTGCCTCTGAGAGAAAACAACATACATCTATGGTAAACCAGTGCCCAAAACAGTAAGATGGAGCAGTTAAGTACCAGGCAGTTCCAGCAGCAATGAGAAGCTGCTCACAAAGCTAAAAGTACATCTTAAGAACTGCACTTCCATGATCATAAAATAGGGAGGGAACAAGTTTTGAAACAGAGGTGAAGTGATTATGAGCACAGGCTTTTCCCATAGGTGACAGCTCTCCTATCTTTGTCGTTCCATAAAAATAGCTCTGCAAGCACAAGACAGTTTTTCTGATGATGGTGCTATAGCATCAGCACCAAATGTGCTGCAAACATATAGCATCTAGTCTTTGAAGGAAGAAGTTATATTCCCTCAAACCTAAGGAGGAGAAACAAGTCTCTTAAGAGGCCATTCCTGCAAAATGCTGAATGCCTGAAGAATATACAACACTTTGAAAAACATTCAGTTATTCACTTGCTTTTTAGTCTATACAGTCCTTGGCAATGGGATTTCCCCCATCTTGCCACTTGGAAATCCACCTGCATCTTCTGCCAAACAAAATCCATACCGGGAGGTCTGTCCAATCCTTGTTTAAAGGTGATAAAAATGACTCTGCTTTAGAGTCAGTTATTTCTGCATGATGAATACAAAAATTTACACCAGCAAAGTGAAAGACAGAATTTGGCCAATGAGCTTTAGTACAGAATAGCAGAACACATTCAAAATTGTAAGCATTAGCATTTTGTATAGAAGTCAACAGAAGAGAAGGGAAAATTCTTCAAGTCTGTGGAAAGGTCCCAATTCTATGAACCTCTTCTGTTCTTTTCAGCATGGGTTCTCTGGACATGTGTAAGAGGAACAAACGTAGAAAATACAAACAGAATTTTGCCATGTTTCACACACCTTTATGCACCTAACTTCATAATAACATCAGTCCTACTCATGGCACCAAGGCTCCTGGCAGGAACACTGTCATTCATGTTACACAGGTTGGACCAAGCTCACACAGGGGCAGCCTGGTATGGTTTGGTTGAGGCTTTATCTGATGTAACTTTACAGAACATCACATGCAGCACAATGTCCATCTTCAAGACTTATTTAAAATTACTGTTGCTTCACAACTTCACTTAAACCAGTGAAGTTACACTAGGGAGAATTTGCCCTTTTCTCTTCCTACACTTCCAAAGTGCTTAAATATCTAGAGAGACTCCCAAAACAAAACTCTGGGGCCTGATCTTTGACAGTCCATATCTATAAGCTCAAAAACTTAACACTAATCTCTTAACAAACATCAAGATACAGATGTGAACCGAGCATGTCTTCAGGCCAGGCAGCTGATTCATGTTTTGAGCTGACTTAAGCGAGCTTCCAGTCCTCAAGTACAGACATTAACTTCCTCTGAAACATTAAACCACAGAATCCAGATTACAATCCTTTGTAAATAATCCAACATCATCTGATATTATTCTACACCAGGACATCTTCTATCTAAAGTAGGTAGAGCTTCTGGATTTTATGAGGTAGATGAAGAATATTCCTGAAAAGCTAAGAGTGGAGGCACTAGAAAAAGGCCAGGGCCAGTTCTGATGCTAATTTATTTTGCTTTGTAAACTAGTTGTGAGGTCCGATGGTGGAGTTGTGTTTTTTTTTTTTCCTTTTCCTGGCTACATTGTCTGAGGTTTTGAGGCCTATCTGTCATATTGAGGCAACAGACCCTTTTAACACTTTGCTTTGCTTTGATATGCAGTCTTGTCTCTTCCTTCTCCCTCTTTTCTTCAGGAGTTATATTGCCGGAAAGGGTGATGATTTTCACAGCAAATAAAGAGGCCTTCTCCCAGCTTTATTGTCTTCAGAAGAAATGCTCTGTGAATTTTATGACCAATGGGAAAACTGTTCCCTTCCCCCAGCTCAAAACCTGGCCAGTCACAAAAATTGCCAGAGTGTGATAGAGCAGGATTGTTAAACTACAGCCCACGACAAGTTTCCTAAGTCTAAAATGTCTCATTTCTTGTCCCTCCAGAGGCAACAGTCAATAGTCTTCAACAGTCACTGTTTGTAAAATAAGAGTTCTGACAAAACTCAAGCAGCTCATCAAGTCCAGGAAATCCACTCCCCCAACACAAAGGCAAAGGTGCTACTTCAAAGCTCTTTTGTTTCATTTTTCTTCCACCCAAATACTACTAACCTCTCCAGCCACTTGCAATTCCATAGTATCTGCTACTGACAGAACACATTTCCAATAAAGCTGACACTATATTGCTTATTAAAATAATATCACTCACAAAAGATTAATCCAGATTATAGGAAGTGATACATTGGTAGTTTCAGTCACCCAAGTGAGTAGGATTTGACTAAAGAATTGGATTAAAATATTAACTTCTATCATTGCATCATTATATTCTGCCATTACCTCCTAAAGAAGTCTGAGAAGTGAAGAACATCCTTCTGCTGCCTCTGGTGAACCCATTAGTCCTACCTTAAATTTTGCTCAGGTAATACTTCTAGAAATAAAATGCATCACTAAATAAGACCAGTAGAAGATTTGTCTCAGAAGGCAGCAGAGTGCATCTATTCCATCCTACAGATGCAATTTAGAGGCTAAAGGCCTAAACTGTTTAGAGATAGCTTTTGTTGCTGCTGTTTGTTAACTTTGGCAAACAGAAGTGTACTTTGCCTTTGAAAGGAGATGCCATACGCGGCCTAATTCCAACCCAGCATCCAACAAAGGCATTAGGAAGACTCTCACTGCCATCAGTGAGGGTTTGGGTGAAGGCCTAACAGTCTAAAACAGGTCTCTGCCAGAATAAAAGCATCCTCTGGAAGACCCTGTCAGGTCTCAGCTCCCACTGGCTGTTGTCTCCCTACACAAAAGAAATCAAACTATTAAAGACAATATTTATGTGACAAATCAGAGAATTTTCTCTGATCCTCGTTGACTTTCAGGAAGGAAACGTTCTCCTTTTGCCTTTCTACTTTCTGAATTGTTCTCTTAACTTACTTTAAAGAAAGTAGATGTGCAAGCTCCCAATCTTCCTTCAAAAAGAAACCAGATATTTTTTACTAAAAATAAACTGAAAGCTACTCACACACAAAGGATTTGATGAAAGCTCCGTTTTCTACATACATTTAATTCCTTGTGCAGTTTAAAAACCAAAAAGCCCAGCCCTCTCCTGTTCAGATAACAGGGGTTAAAGCATTTCAAACCAGAAACAGGAAGGCTTAGCCTGAAATTTACTGTCTTGTTTTGGCAATAGAAGAATATTCTATATTTGTCTATGGCTTCTGAATGAGAACAGAGTTCAAGATAAGATCACCTTGTTGCTCTTTTGTGTACTTCAGTTTAACACCACAAAGGAGATCAAGGAAACATTTTAAACATTTTAACCCATAAAATGACCCCAAATTCTCATTTAAAGAGGGGAAAAAAGCACAACTAAACCATCGGCTAGAGGTCAAAAATACCAAGTGAGGCATTAAAGCACCACGGGTGACCATACGTTAAACAAACAATTTACACTTCGAATTAATGAAAACAAATGTCCCGGTATTTATGTGGACTGACCTGAGTAACTGCTCTTCTTCAGAGACTCTCAAATTCTTCCCATAATGTTGTAAAATTAGCAGCACTTTTCACTCGATTATCAGTGTAAACATAATGGGGCTCATTCTGCTTTCACTGAAGTTTTGCAATGACAGAAATGCCACTGAAATGTGAATGTCCTACACATTACCTACCTCAGCCAAGCAGCAGAACCTTCTCAGGGAAGGCACAGTGGTTTTGCTTGCATGGTCTCAGCAGAAAACCCAGTGAGAGGAACACACACAAACATGCACACACCTGTTTTCCCCATTGGATTCCCTCAAGCCCACAGCATTGTAAAGGCCTTATTAATGCACAGTGCTTTCCCAGGGATGAACACCATGGAGCATAGAAGCTGAAGGATCAAGTTCTGATACAGACCTTTTCCTACAACCCTGGGAAAAGTCCTACAGAGAGTCCAATAGGGTGAACCAGTTGTTATCCACAACCAGAGGTGTACAGCATCACACTGACCAGGACTTCCAGTGCTAAACAAGTCTGTATTTAGGATCTGCACAAACAGATCAAAAGGATCAGAGCCTGAAGAAGCTTCTAATGCAAGTAATACTTTGGAGAGCTAAGAATTCTTCTAAGTAGCAAAGTACTGACTGTCAAATGCTGTAAG